GCCTCCCGAGTAGCTAGGGTCACAGGCTTGAGCCACCACGCCCGGCCTGGACAGGTGATTCTTATTAACAAACAGGTGTTCTGTGTTTTCTCATAGAACCAAGATAAACTAGGTAGGCTGCTGGTGCCTGCTTACCACTAATCAAGGACAAGCTAGAAAGTATTCTCCACGAGGGAGCCACAGGGGCAGGTTCACATATCCTGGGCTTAAAGAATTGTTTTAACCGGTGTATGGTATACATATACTGTCTTGTACATGTGTATGGTATACATATACTGTCTTGTATGTGTGTATGGTATACATATACTGCCTTGCTACTTCAGAATGCCTCAAGTAGTTTTCCACTGGGGTAGGGGGAGGGCTAGGTTTTCCTTGCCATCGTTCTGCTTAGCAAACAATATATTCTATCATATACTCAGCATTTCTCAGCAATCATACACTCAGCATTTCTCAATAGGTGTCCCTTGAACAAAATGGCAAGTTATGAGCTTGAGGAAGCAAGAAACAATAAAACCAACAAATGGGCCGGGCATGGTGGCTCACGCCTGCAATCCCAGCCCTTTGAGAGACTGAGTGGGAGGGTCAGTTGAAGCCAGGAGATCGAGACAAGTCTGGCCAACAAAGCAAGACCCCATCTCTAGAAAAAATTAAATTCTCTAGGCATGGTGGTACACCCTGTAGTCCCAGCCACTTGGGAGACTGAGGCAGTAGCATCATTTCAGCCCTAGAGGTCAAGACTTCAGTGAGCCCCTCCCAAACACCTAAGAAGTACCACTGTGTTGGAGTATCCAGGTGGTGGGTCTTCACCGATCAGGCCTCATTACTTGCTTGCCTCCTTTTTGGTGTCCATTATTTACCAACACCTTCAAATGGTAAGATAAAAAAATAAATACAAATAAGAAGTAATCCCAGCACTTTGGGAGGCCAAGGCAGGCAGGTCACTTGTGTCCAGTTCAGGACCAGCCCAGGCAACATGGTGAAACCCTATCTCTACAAAAAATACAAAGATTAGCTGGGTATGGTGGCACATGCTTATAGTCCGAGCTACTTGGGAGGCTGTGAGAGAATTGCTTGAGCTCGGGAGATAGAAGCTGCAGTGAACCAAGACTGCACGACTGCACTCCATCCTAGGCAACAGAGCGAGACCGTGTCTCAAAATAATAATGGTAATAATAAAACGAAAACAAAAAGTCGGGCCGGGCGCGGTGGCTCA